CCCCCCCCACTCCCCCTCCGCCTTGCTGGCACGCCACGCGCAGGACTTCATCTCTCGCCGCGTCGAGCTCTTCGACAAGTTCAAGGCCGCCCTGGACGCGGCGCCCGCCCGGGCCGAGAAGCCCATCACCGTCAAGGCCAACGTCAAGGGCACCCTGTCCGAGCACGAGGCCACCGCCTTCAAGACCACCGCCTTCGACATTGCCAAGCTGGTGCTCGGCTCGTCGGACCTGAAGAAGATCCTGGTGGCCAAGGTGAATGGCGAGCTGTGGGACCTCTCGCGCCCGCTGGAGGCCGACACCACCATCCAGTTCTACGACTTCGACAGCGACGAGGGCAAGGAGGTCTTCTGGCACTCGTCGGCCCACGTCCTGGGGCAGGCTTGCGAGTTCCACTACTGCTGCAAGCTGTCGCACGGCCCGCCCACCGACGACGGGTTCTTCTACGACATGCGCATCCCGGAGTCGCGTGTGGTCACGGCCGAGGACTACCCCGGGCTGACGGCGCGCGCCACCAAGATCAACAAGGAGGACCAGCGCTTCACCCGCCTAGAGCTCACCAAGGCCCAGCTGCTCGAGATGTTCGCCGACAATGACATGAAGCTGCACTTCATCAAGGAGAAGGTCCAGGACGATGAGACGTCCACGGTCTATCGCAATGGGGACTTCATCGACCTGTGCACCGGGCCGCACATTCCCAAGACCTCGCTCATCAAGGCCTTCGCCCTGGTGAAGCACTCGTCGGCCTACTGGCTGGGCAATGCCGCCAATGAGGCCCTCCAGCGCATCTACGGTGTGTCCTTCCCCTCGGCCAAGGAGATGACCGAGTGGAACAAGATGCGCGAGGAGATGGCCAAGCGCGATCACCGCCTGCTCGGCAAGCAGCACCGGCTGTTCATGTTCAACGACCTGTCCCCGGGCAGCTGCTTCTTCCTGCCCCATGGCACCCGGATCTACAATCGCCTGGTGGAGTTCATCCGCGAGAAGTACTGGGAGAATGGCTTCGATGAGGTGGTCACCCCGAACATGTACAGCACCAAGCTTTGGGAGATTTCCGGGCATCTGGCCAACTACCGGGAGAACATGTTCCTTTTCGACATCGAGGAGCAGGAGTTCGCCATGAAGCCCATGAACTGCCCCGGGCATTGCATGGTCTTCGACATGTTCCCGCGCACCCACCGCGAGCTGCCCATTCGCATGGCGGACTTCGGTGTCCTTCACCGGAATGAGTTTTCCGGTGCCCTGTCCGGGCTGACTCGCGTGCGTCGCTTCCAGCAGGATGACGCCCACATCTTCGCCGCCCCGGATCAGGTGGCCTCCGAGATCAGCAAGGCCCTCGGGTTCCTGCACGATGTGTACAGCAAGCTCGGCCTCGAGCCCAGCCTGGTGCTGTCCACCCGGCCGGACAACTTCATCGGCGACGAGAAGGTGTGGGATGCGGCCGAGGCCCAGCTGACCGAGTCCCTGAACTCCAGCAAGTTCAACTGGGAGCTGAACCCCGGCGATGGCGCGTTCTATGGCCCGAAGGTGCGTCCTTGCGCGGGTCTCTTCCCTTGCCCTTCCTCTTGGCTGGGATTCGCCACCGCCAATTGCCATGCCATGGGTGGGGGGGGGGGGCGCACCGCCCCGATGCTGGCCATTGTGATTGACCTCCTTTTCCCCTCCCCCTGGCATATGCTGTGCGGACGCGCCTCTCTGCACCTGGGCAATTTTAATTACGAAAAAAAAAACACCGGCCCTTGTGCAGATCGATATCCGCGTGCGCGACTGCTGGAAGCGCTCGCACCAGTGTGCCACCATCCAGCTGGACTTCCAGCTGCCGATCCGCTTCAACCTGACCTTCCTCAAGTATGTTCCCGCTGCTCCCTCCCGCCGGTCCTTCAATGTGCATCATCCTCTCCCGCCCCGCCCCCCCCCCCCCTCCCCCATGTGGGTCCTCCCTCGATCGCCCCATCGACCTGCTAACACGCACACGCGCTCGCCACTCTTTTTGGGGCCCTGCGGGATGGGGTGCGAAAAAAAAACCAACCAGGGAGGACGGCACCAGCGAGCGCCCGGTCATGATCCACCGCGCGGTGCTCGGCTCGGTCGAGCGCATGATTGCCATCCTGACGGAGCACTTCGCCGCCAAGTGGCCCTTCTGGGTGTCCCCCCGGCAGATCTGCCTCATCCCCCTGACCAAGGCGCAGGATGCCGCTGTGGAGAACCTCCGCAAGCGCCTGCACGACAACCGCTTCTTTGTCGATGTCGATGACTCCGGTGACACCCTCAACCGCAAGATCCGCATGGCCACCCTGGACCATTACAACTTCACTGTCGGTGCGTGCTCCTGCTGCGGTGCTGCGCCCCGGCCTCCCGTCTGCCCTCGCGGCGGCGCGACCCTCCCCCCCCCCCCCAGGAGGGGGCGCCCCCGCCTGGCCATTTGATCGCATCGTCACTGACACAAGCACGCCCCGCTGTGTGGCCCCACGCTCGCGCGCCCACCCGCAGTCATTGGCCGTGGCGAGGTCGACCCGGAGGACAACACCCAGGTCAAGCGCGTCACCGTGCGCACTCGTGACTCCAACAACGGCCAGACCAGTGCCACCTTCGATGTGGACGATTTCATTGCCCACCTGCACACCCTGAACAAGGAGAAGCCGGTGCTCGACCACCTGAATGGTCTGGTCGAGATCAAGCAGGCCAAGCCCGCCCCGAAGGCCGCCCCCGCCGCCGCCGCCGCCCCGGCTGCTGAGGCTGAGAAGCCCGCCGTTGAGCCCTCGGTCGAGGCCTAGACGCGTATCCTCCCTTGTTGCCGCCCGGGGGGCCCCCTCCCCCCCCCTCCCCCCCTCGGCGAGGGAGCATACATGGCACGCGGGTTGGGCGCGAGGGGGGGCCGCGGATCAGGCCACCTATGCGGCCTTTTGAATGGGCTTGTCCTCTCCCTCCCCCTCTTCTGTGGCCCTCCGGTGCCGTGTCCGCCCTCTCCTTGTGTGGCCCGGCCGACCAGCAGGGGGGGCGGAGGAAGACGGTGGGGCGCGTGCCATGAGCGCACCTGCTTTGAAGACAGAAGCAAGTCCCCCGGCCCCTCCCTCCCCATGTCCATGCTGTGTTCCCGGCGCCCTCCCCCAAATAAAGACGCCATCCTCCCCCCGGGAATAGAAAGACGCCGCGTTGCATGTTGGTCCCTCTTCCTTTTCGCACGTTCTCACGGGGAGAGGGTCCGAGGAGAAGGGGGAGGCCGATCTATTGGTGCCGCCTGCTTGCCCGGCGCGAGGGGAGGACAGGGCCCTGGCGAGGGCAAAAACACGGGCCGACTACTTGAGATCCCGGTCCGTCAGTGACAGGACCAGCCGGTAGGCATCACTGGTGGAGAGGTAGTAGCGCGAGAGGAATTTGGTCCGCTGGAAGCCAAGCGAGGAATACAGTCGCAAGGCGGCCAGGTTGCTGGTCTCCGCCTCGAGGACCACTTCGTCACAGCCGCCCGGCGCAGCGCGCATGTTCTCCACCACGCGCGACACCAGCGACCGGCCTATTCCGAGGCCACGCGCCTCCGGGTCCACCACCAACATGGCGATATACCCGCGGCGGTGCTCGAGCTGCGGGGCCACAGGGAGGGCCAGGTCGGTGGTGGCCGGGCCGAAGGCCTCCGGCCCGGCGCCGGCCTGCAGCAGATTCATCAGGCCCCCGGCGCTTTCGGCCTCGGCGGAAGGGGACAGGCCCGGGTGCTCACGGCGCAGGCGCTTGTAGGCATCGATCTCGGCCGAAGTCATGTCACTGGGAAGCTTGTCATCGATGTTGGACACGACGACGCCCAGAAGCTTGGAGGACTGCGAGTCCCGGGCCTGGGGCGCGGGAGGCAAGCGAGGGACGGGAGAAGGGGGGAGGGGGGGGGGTCAGAAAAGGCATTTGGCTGCCAAGGAGGGGGCGAAGGAGAAGGTGCGCCCCTCTGAGGGGGAGAGAGAGAGAGAGAGAGAGCAGAGCATCGGCGTGCATGCATGCGTGCATGATGATGGGGGCATGGGGGGCATGCCTGGCCGTGTGAAGCCACCAGCGGCACGCACCAGGATGGTCAGGGTCGGCCATTTGGACACAAAGTGCCGGTAAGTATACACGTGGTAGGGCTCACTCAGGAAGCGGGCAATCATGTCCGAGATCTCGGGCAGGTCCTTCTCCGTGCCATCCAGACAGGAGTAGATGATATTACTCTCCTTATAGGGAGAGGGCTCGGCGGGGGACATGTTGGGGGGGAGG